TTATTTAAAAATATTTTTAAAAAACTTTATTATTATATGAATCTACAAGGTTTCTAACATAAACTAGATCGTAATTTACTTAACGAAAATATTAATATTTAAAAAAAATTGTGAAAAATCAAAAATCAGCCATTTGACTTAAATAAGTGTTTTTACCATATACATTTTTCTAAAAATCAGATTTACAAATTGGCTATATTGAATATTTCAAAAAAAATTTTATCAATTTTCAAGTTTTTTATTTTCAGTATTAAAAAATAAAAAATGTATTCTAAAAATGTAGCGCAAGTGTCTATGGATTATATTTAAAAGATACTTTCAATTTCGAACCTAATAATATTTTATTGCATGCTAATATAATTTAAATATAAGTATATGTATTTACGTTTTATATTTTATTTTTTATTTATATAACTTAAACCATTAATATTAGAGTAAAACTATGATGATGAACAACGTCCAAAACTAGTAGTAACCATTTATATTTTTTAACTATGATACTCATCATACTTGCAGCTCTAACACATATTTCGTTTCACTACTATTTAAAATAAATTATAATATTAGACAGAATGGACTTTGTTGATTTACCTAACAGGCACTCAAAAACCAATTTTGGCTTGAAAAAGGTTGAAAAATTTATTGCATCAATCGTAACCTTTAAAACAACTTCGCGCTGGTATAGATGGATTGCGCATGTGCGTAACAATAACATTTTAATAATAAAAATAATAATATTCCTACCTACGTATAATATTCAGAATGTGTATCGTAATCCGTTCGCCCCGCTGGTCCGTTTAGGTTCTAAAATGCTCGCGTAAACGAAATCGTAATAATTTTCGAACAATGTAAAATTAAATTCGTATTATTCACAGTCGCGTGCCGTTTTATTATTAATAAATTCCATTATAAAATAATTTCACCGTTCAAACGTCTTGTCAGCGCGCGCTGTATGTCTGTATATTAAACGAGAGGTATGGACCTAAGCGGGTATATGATATAATATATATGCAATATGCATATTATCGTCGGCAGGGTGGGTACTACAGGGCATATTGTATTAAAATATATATTATATATATATGTATATATATATATAGCTATATAGCATTTAACACCAGCCAAATAATATTATGTTGACTTTATGGTGGATAAAATAAATGCAGGTCAGCTAGGTAAGYATATAAGCGTTTAATTTAATGATACCTAATCAATAATATTTTTTTGTTTAAAGTAATACCAATAGACACGTTGATACATAAATAGGTACTAGGTACATATATCTAATATCCTAATAGCAATATATATTCAGACGCTCTTCTTCTACTATACGTAAACCGCTGTTAAGTAATTTAATTTTAAAGTATTTTCACAAAAAAAAATATATATTTGCCTGTTAAATATATTTTTATATTCTTTATCATTGTGATGTTGTAGGTTTCTTCTTATTAATAGTAATCTTTATTTTTAATATCATATTTCAGGACTAATAATATGTCACATTAGTATGCAAATTAAAAATTCCTAAAAAGAAAAAAAAATACATCGATAAAAAAATTGTTGTACAATAATTATTTATTTGAGTTTTAACAAATTTTAATATTTACATAAATGAAAAGGCAAATTTAAAATTTAATTATATTCGTCAGTCACTCAATATGTTAAAATTCATTTATCTATTTCTGTATTTGTCATATTTTGATAATATTTCAGTTATATCAGTAGTTCCCAAACTTTTTTGGTTCACGCATCCCTAAAAAAAATTATAAAATWAAATAAATTAAAATAATCTCACCTACCTCGAATAAATAAATTACGACTTAACTAACACTCACGTAACACTAATTTATGACTACTATTACTACTACTATTACTACTGCTATTGTCAGACAAAATATAATATATATTAATATATGATTTATTGGTCATCATTTATTATAGTTCGAAAATATTCAGAAGAAACGATAACGCTGGGTTTTCATTTGATAAACATCTCAACGAAGTATAATTGATCTAAAATATCAATTTTTACCTTCACCTCCTCTAATAAATGGTTGTGCTTTTCATGGGAGRCCTAACTCACAGTTCGGGAACCGTTAATCCATACTATTCTCATTTTAAATTAATGTTCTTACAATATACTTYCAATAAATCGTCTAAAGTAAGTAGTAGAGACGTGATTTAATTTTAAAATATTATATAATGGCATAAATGAAACAAAAAATGTTTTGTTAATGTTATACTATAATATCGTTTTCTATCATGTTTTTTTTTTTTTTTACTAAATGTATCATATACATTAAAATACTTTATACCTATTTTATTAAAATGAATTTCTTTGAACCCAAATCCAAGACATTTTGTAAGAATATTAGAGATAGGTAATAACTTTTTACTACTTACCAAAATATATTATCTGTAGAAATCATTGAAGCTTCTTCAAMACATTATTATATTTTATGATATATTGAAAATAATAAAACGTCTAATGGTTAATGATACTTATAGGTTTCTTAAAATAAATCTGTATTATTTGTATTGTATATTTTTAGAATTATTATTAGTGCTTTTTATGTTTTTTAGTGTTTTTTTGCTTTATTGCAAGTGCTTTTTATTAATTTTATATTGTAGTTAGWATATCTAAGCTCCAAATCAATAATTGTATCGATGATTAAATTATGTGCCATGAGCCCATGAAKAAGCGTACATATTTTAACGCATTTATGTATATACAGAGCAACACAGTGTTATTGATCAGTGATTTATTTGTTTTATTTTTCATCACCTTTCGTATGCAGTTGGCGTTGCAATGACGTTGAACCCGAATGGCGTGGGAGTAAAAGCCGAACCAGTGATGTCCACGGGTGTTGGTGGCGTTAGCGGTCCAAGGAAACAGTCGGCCACAAAAACGTGAATGCCTACGGTGAATTGCGGCAACGGCCGTGATAGAGGAACGTTTATTCTAAAATACGAGTGGAAATCAAGGATCAAAATCGTTTAATATTTTTCGTTTTTAAGTTTTATTGTTTTTCCAAAGATGACAAAATACACTCCCGTTACGATATTATATAATACCTAAATAATATAATTTGTATTCTGAGTATTTTTATTACTACATGACGGCAGTAGGTATATCTATTTATATTATTATTATTATTATTATTATTATTAACCTTAGAAAAATTACAGTCCTGGCATGATGTACAAATTTTACTTTTAATACTATTAAACTGCACACAAAAAAAACGACCAAAAAACGACCAAGTAATGTGTATGCATTAATTTCTGACCAAAGATCCACGACGTTTGAAGGTACCTACATGGGCAGCAGCCACTACTTATGTATTAGTTAGTATAATATTATATGYGCGCCYCCTGTCATCGTCATCATTAGAATAATAGTATTATAATACAGCCTCTTGTTGCTAATGTATTCGCACCGAGTAACACTTGGTATAAATATTTGATTTCTGATTTTTTTCTTTTACACACAATATTTGGTTAAATGTTTTATTATATTGTTAAAATATATTTATAATACCGAGATTAAAAAATCTYGCTACTCCCTGCAGCAACCATGGCCATTAGGCTGTACTTTTATAATATTAAGGTACTTACTAGGTATTTTTTTTTAACGTGAGACACTCATTAAACGTCACAATGTTTTTATAACTAKAAGTGTAAATGGTTATACCTAATTAAATATTTACATATACGACATAAAAATTAAAATTAATCTTACCTATAAGGCTATAATATTATTATTTATTTCATTCATTTGTTTATATTTTGAAMTTTTTGTTAAATTTAGTGATTTTCTCTTGCTACTCTTTCACTGGTGTATAATTTAATATCTTCACTAATTATCAAAGAATTATTCCATATGTAGGTAGGTACCTAAAATTGTGTATGTATTAATACTAAACATCGGGTGAATTAAATTCTTCTATGGGATATGAAATAAAAAGAACGAGAACATAAAATGTATATGAAAAAAAAAATGAATAAATAGATAATAATATAATATAACATAATTTAAAATAAATGCTATTTTTTACAAATAATAGTGTCTTGCGTGATAAAAAAAAATCACCTCGTACATGTATTTATATATTGTGATATTAGATAGCTAAATATTCATGACAAATGTGTCATTGATTATAGTTGAAATGGACTTATATATATTGGACATTATCAACAGTGGTGTGACCTGTGCCCAAAACAATATTATAATATACGTATGTGCTATGTAATATTATTTGTATAATGTATACTCTTATGTGTGTCGTTGAATACGAAACAGCTGAACAAACCAATAATAATAGATTTTTTTTATTGAAAATATCCTTACTGTGGGATTTGTACGGTTTTACAGAGAAAAATTTGCTCACTTTTAAGAAATAATAATAAAATATAAAATAAATAATAGACTATATTATATTATATATATAAAATGTGTTGCACAGAATTATTTTGTTTCTATTCAACAACTACGTTACAACACATTATTATTATTATTATTATTATTATTAATATTCGAAAAAAAAAAACAAAAAAACATTGGCGATTATTTATATATATATTATATATAATTTATTACATTTTTTATGTACATATTAATTACTCTAGTAGATTATTTATGCGTAGCAGTATTATCTACGATCATTTTTTGAATGCACCAAAAATAATTAGACAAAAATAATAATTTGCTTCGATAAACAATACAAATTAATACTCTCATTTATATATTATATATATAATGTCGTTCTTAAAATGTTTATGAAAAAATTATATTATAATATGTATTAAACGTTAAACTTAAACATTGTATTTAAAAACATTTTATACTCGTTTAGAACTAAATTTATTATTATCATCCATATATGAACATGTTATTATACGATAATTCTATTATCTATTTATAATTAAATTATTATGTTTTATAGTTAAATTCTGTTGCTTTCCACGAATACTTTTTTCTTATAATATGTATTTTTTTCTTTATGTTAATTGTATAAGTTATGATTATATTATTATGTTTTGACATTCATTTTACGTTCCCTGGTTGTGATTTTAAGGTTGTTTTTATGTTATTTCTTTATAAAGTTTTATTATATCATTGTCGTTCAAACTCTGGTTGTGTATTTTTTTTTTATTACTATCATTCGTCACAAAATCAAAACAGAAATTCGCATGCACACGCACGCATACTTAACCTAACCCGTAATCAGGAACGTGTTGTATAGTGGTTAATGATAATGTAGTATCTACAAAAGAGTATAATATATTATCTAACATATATTTGGGTCTAAAAAGTAAGTATACAATAGTAAGTATCAATATTAAGTTTGTAGTGTAATCTTTGGCGATGTTGACTTCGATGAGGCACACACGATGTCGTCAAATGTGTTCATCTTCTCGATCTTGTCACACGGTCGACGACACCTTATGTCGTACGAAACAAAACAAAAACAAATTTACGACGAACACTGTTGTTGTTCGTATCTAAGACACATTCCCAAGTTGTCTTCGGGGTTTTCTTCTCTATTTCCTGGTCCAAACTGCACTCGCATCACGAATGGCGTGGTGCTGCCTGTAGATAAATCAAGTTAACTAACACGTCAGTTGTTTAACTTAGCTGCTGAAACGAGTAAGTGTGTATGATTATAATATATAGAGTGATTTTCTTAAAATTCTAAGTCAAATTTTCGCATACCTATAGCATATAATTTTAATGTGAAATGAACCAAATTTTTATGCMTACTAAAATTTTTATTATGTTCTAGTTAGAAAATATGAAACATGAAATACTGTTTATTGTTTAAAAATGACTTAAACAACTAGCAATTCAAATTATTTCGTTAAGATTTGACGAAGGGAAATTATATAACACCTCGCCTATATTCAAAAAATATCACTTCGTATAATATTATAATATAATACACTCTTCGTTTTCAATATATAATATAGAGATTCYAAAATAATTTACTATGATTGAATAATATTTTATACTTACTTTCAATCCGGCATGGCGTTTCTTTGTCTGTGCAGAAATTGTTTCCGCAATGGAGCAAATCACATATTCCAGGACCACCCTGAGGCTGTTTAGTATAAAATAAATAATATATACAAAATTCACTCGTTTAAAAACGGCTAAGCTGATTTAAATGTCTTAAGTATAGCGAATGATGAAGATAGATACCAACCGTTATGAATTCTTCAGAATCACAGGGCATCATAACCCGGTCGCTGCACTCACGGAATACGTCCATGGAAATCACCTGGCTCCCACCTGGAACATCACCACCTTCATCTCCCGAACCCTCGATCCCTGTGTCTACACCAATAATAAATAGTAAAAATAATAATAGAAATAAGTTTTTTCAAATGGCATGGCATTGAACGTATAATATATTAAATCCCTTTTAACTCACCAGAAAGTATTGGTGGTCCGATCTTAAACGAGTTTTCGTCACATGGCTCATACGCGATCGAACACATACCTGTAACCCAAAACTAGTTATAAGAAAATAAATATTGTGTGAGGCTCAAAACTCTTCTTTTTAATTTGGAGAGGATGTCGAGGTGTGTTTTAGCTCTCCATGTAATCTTTGTATACCGGCTAACCTATAATTCACATTATGCCAACCTACTATAGGTTTGCCAACTATTTACGATGATTTAATAAAAATTACGATTGCACATTGTAGACCAGTTAAAATGTTAAAATACCTACTTTCGTGAAAACACTAGAATGCAGACCTCAAAATGAACAAGTTTATATAACAATCCAATAAAGATATAAAGTTAAAAATATTAATATCAACAATTTATTGTAAAAAGGATTTTTTTTTWTATAACATAAACTTTTGGAATTCAAAGAATTATTCAAAAGTAAAAACTATGAAATTAGTGTTTATTTTAAYATTAATAAATTAAAATGTTATGACTCAGTATTTGTTTTTATACGAGAACCTATATTATTTATTTTTAACATTTTAAGTACCTATTAAAATCCTTTGAGGCAAAGGTAAGCTATATAATATATAGGTATTACATATACATAAAAACCTACATAACTTAATTTAAATAAATTGATCKAGTTTGTGAAGTACTATGTTATACTAATGAACTAGGTACTTAGATTATATTATTAATAACCATTCTAAGGTCTACAACTCGAATGGCGCCACTGGAAATACGACGTGACTAATTATATAGGTACCTACCGTGTTCTTGTCGTATGCAAATCACATAGTCTTGGTCRGCCAGATGTCGGCCGTTGACCGCGAAATTCATAGTCTGCACTGTGCCCGCGACTTCGTGGAAATACTGAAGACATCCGGCTGGCGCACGCTGAGCGAACTCAATCTGTGTGATCTATATTATAAAAATAACGTAATTTATTAGGTAAATACTCACAACTTTGCAATAATTAACTGTATTTGAATGACGATTTAAAAATCTCTTGAAGGTAAGTAATAGGCACCTAAGTTGAATACTCACTTTAATCTCCCACATCCGGTTATAGTTGCTTTTAGTCAGCCTAATRTTGATCGTTACATAATCTTTCGTGTCATCCATATCATAATATACTGTGAAATGCCAATAGTAAAATTATTGTTGTAGTTCATTTTATATGATGATAAAATAAAATATTTAATGTATGAAGCTATGAACCCAGACAACAACGGATGAGTAAACAGCAAATCGACAATAAAAACATGAAGAAAGAGCACAAATTGTCTAAAATCAATATTTWAATATTTTAAAAGAAAAAAAATTAACGAATTTTTAAAACCCGCATATCTATATTATTTATAGTAGCAATTAACAAAAKTTGTACTAAATTTCTCAAAATATTTTTATATTTATAATGAGATCATAACCACATTATAAAATATATAATTAAGTATGAATATATAATATATTAAGGTAAATTCAGAAGTTCATGCCCCTTCATTCACCCATCTAGTGTGGCATACCCTATCTTCATCTAATTTCCTTCAAGCTCGCACGAATCGCGTACCGACCAACTATGTGTACACACGCGATTATTACAATTGTCACTGTTCCGGCATAAGGCTTGCGCACTTTCATTCGTTATATTATTTACGCCAACACTTACTGCTGGCTGCTAAAACTACCATATTGTGTGCGTTTTCAATTACGATCCTTTACAATGCGCTTGTGAATCCACGCATATGGCTCGTGTAAATACATAACATAATTTGGGTTTAAACCGCATTGATTGATGTGGTAACACGTTGTAGGCCTAATGTTAAAACCTGATAARCCACAAATGCACGAATATTATATTCAGAGCGCTCGTGACTATACTCTAACATTATTATCCTGAARACGTGAATATAGTGAACCCGGATTTGACACGATTGCGAGTTGTCCACCGAGGACCAAACCACTTACCATGTTGGCCGCTGTTGAGACCGCAAATCCTCAAGTCATTGGACGCTCCACCGGTGACGGCAAACGTGTCCGTCTCGCACACTCCCGTTTTCCTGTTGGGCTGTGCCTGTAACAAACAATATCCATTATGAATGAGAATGAGAATCGTCAAATCGTTGGTTATTACTAGATTATAATATAATTATTGTTCTAAAAAAGAATTATTATTTCAAACCAAACGAGTTGGGTCCGAAAAATATAGTTGTTAAGCAAACTCACTAAGTTGAAGTTCACAAAGTCCAATCGAATCTGGCTTATGTCTTTGGATATCTTCTTGACACGTAGTGAGCATTCACCTACGTCATCCAACAACCCTGGGAAGTTTGGGTTAACGAAATACGTGACGTTGTTGGCCACTTCTGCGTTGCATGACGTCGTGACTGCGACAACCAAATACACGATATTAGATAGTTAGGTATATATAAATATGATATCATATCATATTATTAGAATGATCAATATTACATAACAATTAATTATTATCAATCATGATAAATTGATAACTAATGATAACTGAACTACAGGACACTTAGGAGCATATAAATGTTTTTTTTTTTTTTGAAAAGATTCCAATAAAAAATACGGCTTTAATTGARGTTTTAGCTCCTCACCGATCAAAATAATAATAATACGTCGTTACGGCTATGCGAAACATTCTGGCATAAATACAATAAAAATCTTTTATGATTACAATGTGCATAAAAAACAAGTACCTACATGATTTAATATAAAAGTTGTGTATATGATATTATAGTATGCTTACAGACGCAACACACTCCAAAACCCAAAGCGCAAGGGCCGTGAGACTCTCCGTTTTGTATTCGGCACTCATACGTGTTCAAGCAAAGACCTAGAATGACACAATAATAATTTTAATTATTAAAACAATATTAGAATAATATGATGATAACGACATTGTGGAAATAAAAATATAATATATTTTACCMKTTCTCCGCGAATCGTCGGACAGGCACTCTTCGGTCACCGGCACCGGGAAGAAATTCAACACTGCCATCAACAAATTCCAAAACATGATTAATCACGCGCATTCATCATGTATATATATCATATTATATTATATTATATTATGTGCATAAACGCAAAATAGTAACTTAACGCACGCCCAAAAATCATAGTGTGGGAGAAACCTGGTGGCAACAGCAGACGCGTACTGCGACCACTATAAAATGTTATATGTTTATTATATTGTCATTATTATAATATTTTGATTCAGTGAATGATTTTCTCAAATGACGATCTGACGAGAAAATTAGATGACAGGACGTCCAGTGTGGATGATTAGTGCTATTTATGTTAAAGATATGCACATTTAAAGAATTCTGTTATTGCTATTTTTTTTTCACCGACATGAACACATTTTTACCTTAATTACAATAATACAATATTATCATTAATACACGTGTCGTGCGAAAAATAATATGTTTAATTTCTTAAATATTAGATAGTTTATATCACTAAATTGTATGGTGTGAGTTAAGAACGTTTATTATCCCGACACACATTCTACGACGTTCATCAACTGACGCGATGTCACCTCAAAAACACTTAAGTTTTTGAAACTACATTATTATCACTATTACCTATTATAATACAAAAAAAAAAAATTACAAATAATCAATTTATACTATTTTCACGATGAGTGATAATGATGTTTAATACAAAAAGAACAAATTATGACAAAACCTGTATTGGTAAAGAAGAATCTTTTTTAAAAATTAATATTATTAGTAGTTTTCTCAACAATATAATATTATTATATATTATAATACAATACAAGAGTATAAGTTTTTTGTTTTCTAAAAATTACGATAATAATATGATTATACATTTCTTACTTTCCACAGACTATAGAGCAAAATGAAAGTATTTTAGATACCTATGTAGTATATAAAATGTATAGTTTATCAATAAATTGATTRAGTGAACATATTTTGTATTAAATGCTTTGTGTGGTTTTTATATTTGTCGTTAGGTTGTTTGTCATGTGTTCTATGCGGTCTTTGACACCAAGTAAAAGAATATCTTGATCTAGAAACATATATCATTAGTAGAAAAAAAGATAACCAATAATTATAAATCCTAGTGTGGCGAATTTGAAAAATAAAACACTTGAAATCCGTAGGATTTTTAAAGTGGTCCGACGATGATTTTATGTATTAAAAATAAGATAGCTGAAGAGATTTTCAATTTGAGAAAAATTATGAGTACGCAAATAGTAAAGTTGAATTGTTTTCACATTTTAATTTAGTTTGATATTGAGACCGTGTTAACGTTGTYTAGTGTTATTTCAATTTACAATACACGAGTAGGTATATTGATATGTTTGGTATGTTTAGGTAGGTCTAAAAGTACGATATTTTATTCGTGCATTCCCCTAACCTACAGCTGACAGTAGATTAAATATTTGTGCCAGAACGGGATTCTAACTATAATAGCTTTAAACGTCACCGTGACTTTTATATCACAATTTAATATAATATATAATACGTTAGGCAACGGGCTCGCGTTAGCRCGAGTTTTATCCTTTCCAATTTCCGGTGACGTCTTCGACGTGAATTTACAATGATCGTCCACATCATGGTGCAATATAACAATAGTGTACCACTCATGATTTATTTACCTATAAGAATTTATGGCTGGAGCGATCACATTACATTGATCCTCAATGATCGACGAACTAAATTATTATATGGCTCGTCAATACGTGTAAATTGCCACTTATCTATCATCACATAGCACGCGTATCTACGTTAATGTAATTTTCACGAATAGATGTTTTTTATCATTATTATTAGTTATTATACCATTCTAATATATTATTATAAAGCTGTTGACGGTGAAAGAATTTAATCAGTCTCCTGACAACCATCGAGTGTATGGTAATATACTATTGGACCGGCAGCAATCATATTCTCCAACAAATGGATTAMTCGTAATCATATTATATAGTAGTAATAAATAATTATATTACAAGCCATATATATTCAAATTTTCTTTTTTCTGAACTTGTTTTTTAAATTATGAAACTTCGCTGGACCATTTAAAAATTATTCTTATAAGACCTATGCTTGTGCTGCAGATGTATGYTGATACGTCACAGGTTTTGACCACCGGATACTATTTTGTGTTATATTTATTAATAATTAATGTTGAGTCATCCYATTGGCTATGAATTTTTGACAATATAACAAGATTTCTGTAAAATAAATGTTTAAAATACACGTCATGATTTTTAGGTTAAGGTACCACTCAAACTATAATACAATGCCTCATCCGTACGGCATGTAATTTCATATCATTATTAGTATTGTTATTTCATTATTGGTTTTTAATGTTATCGATAAAATATCCGGTTAAGTTTATTTTTGTGTTAGTTGAATTTGCTATTAGCATTAGTTGCAAATGGGCTGAGTTGGGCTATAATATTATTCATTTATGTACTTAAACAATAAAAATACAATTTACTTGTACAATAAGGTTATTTATTAGTCTTATCAAAATTAAATTAAATCCGTGAGTAATGTTTGTAAAAATTATAATCGTATCRTGTTACATTATAATGTATTATAATATACAATAGAATATAGCACTAACTTATTAATGAAATTATTGTTTTCTTTTTATATATAATAATAGGTAATATAAAACACCTGTTGTTTGAAATTTGAATTACCTTCACGTTTTGCAACACTAGCTATACTGTGATATTGGTGTTCATACCAAGCGTTAGCATATTTGACTGGAACAGTCATTGCAAAAGATGGTAAACTTATAAAATACTATTTTATAGCCAAACACAAACAATTACGACATTTGTACAGACGACGTTTCCATTTTAGATACTGTATATTTTTCTATTTATTAAGACTATTGTAACCTAATAAAATTCACATTACATACCTATATATTATTAATATAAAGTATAATATTATCTTATAAATATAATAACTACGTAACAACAGAATACTTGATATTATCCCAGTCTACTTTGAAAATAATGTTTAAATACAAGCTGATCCACCCAGCATACTCCACCCATTNTAATGTTGAGTCATCCCATTGGCTATGAATTTTTGACAATATAACAAGATTTCTGTAAAATAAATGTTTAAAATACACGTCATGATTTTTAGGTTAAGGTACCACTCAAACTATAATACAATGCCTCATCCGTACGGCATGTAATTTCATATCATTATTAGTATTGTTATTTCATTATTGGTTTTTAATGTTATCGATAAAATATCCGGTTAAGTTTATTTTTGTGTTAGTTGAATTTGCTATTAGCATTAGTTGCAAATGGGCTGAGTTGGGCTATAATATTATTCATTTATGTACTTAAACAATAAAAATACAATTTACTTGTACAATAAGGTTATTTATTAGTCTTATCAAAATTAAATTAAATCCGTGAGTAATGTTTGTAAAAATTATAATCGTATCRTGTTACATTATAATGTATTATAATATACAATAGAATATAGCACTAACTTATTAATGAAATTATTGTTTTCTTTTTATATATAATAATAGGTAATATAAAACACCTGTTGTTTGAAATTTGAATTACCTTCACGTTTTGCAACACTAGCTATACTGTGATATTGGTGTTCATACCAAGCGTTAGCATATTTGACTGGAACAGTCATTGCAAAAGATGGTAAACTTATAAAATACTATTTTATAGCCAAACACAAACAATTACGACATTTGTACAGACGACGTTTCCATTTTAGATACTGTATATTTTTCTATTTATTAAGACTATTGTAACCTAATAAAATTCACATTACATACCTATATATTATTAATATAAAGTATAATATTATCTTATAAATATAATAACTACGTAACAACAGAATACTTGATATTATCCCAGTCTACTTTGAAAATAATGTTTAAATACAAGCTGATCCACCCAGCATACTCCACCCATTMTTTCGTTTAATAATAAATTTATTCAAATTCTGATTTTTTAAATGCTTAAATATATTCCAAGACCATATTTTAAAATTCTTGAATTAATTTTAATTAACTACATTTGGAGTGTTTTGTGGTGATACAAATTTCAGTTTTTCAAATGAGAATACCTCTTTATTACAATAAATTAATAAGTGGACAATTATTTTGGATATGTTTATGTACTCAATTCAAAATTTGAATGAGTAGTTTTTTAATTATTAAAATGTTTCTACTAAGAATAATAGTCCTTACATTTTTTTTTTATAAAAATATAAAATAGATGTTGTTGATCTAATTTATTATCTGTTTATTATACTTGAGTCATTTTTAAAAATTTTTGAAATTGATGGATTAATATTAATCACTAAAATTGTATGGTAACAAGAGTCTCCTTACCATATAAATCCCTTTATAGTGAGCCTGTTTTCCTTTGAAAATGAATTTAAATAAGCCAAAAACTACTCTTAAGAATTTTGATTCTGATACGTCAAAATGTTCAGAAAAATTATCCACTTTATAATTATTTAAGTTAAAAGGGTATTCTGAATTGAAAAATAGAAGTTTTGATCTCCACAAGACACTCCTTAATTAGTACAAAAATCTCAAAAATTTTAAAATATAGTCGAGTTAATAATGATTAATTCAATCATTATTGAAGAAAGTAGAAGGCAAGTGAGCATGATTGGTGGATCACCCTATATTATTTTATGTATTTTTTTTATACAGTTTATTAACACAATGACAATAATTTGTTTTGAAGGAACATTCTTTTAGTGTTTAAGATAAATKTATTATCTCAGCGTATGCTCTATCGTTGTGTTATTAGAAAATTCAATAACTCAATTAATAAAAATAAATCCTATTATTCAATTGTAAGCAAACATTTCGTAAGTTTAAAAATACAATAAAAATGAATGCATTATTAATTATCTATTTTTATCACATTTTATTGTATTATTTAATCGAATAAATAAACGATARTAAAATATTATGGTATAAAAATTTTGTTTAAATCCTGAAGCATG